AATATACTGCTCAAGATTTAGCATCTGATGATGAAGACGACAAGAGAATACAATAGGCAGAATATCGAGCATCACAAAAGCTAAAAAAGCGGAGACGTATAAGTACAAAGGCGGTAAAAGACTACCGAGATAGCGGGAAAGTGCTACAGGTTGCATACAGTGAGAAAAGCGGCATATCTAAGAGTTGGCATTTGCTACGGTTGTGGTAAACCAGGCCATTGGCGATCAGAATGTAAAGATAGTCACGCATTTGGTGCAAGTTCAATGCAGCCAAAGATAAGTTCATTTAATTCATATTTGAATGACAAAGTTGTGTGTTTTCACGTATGTGATGAGAGTGCTTGTTCTAGTCACCATGTCTTAACGAGGGAAAATCAGTTGGATGTGACGATACCCAGTAAAGTGGGTGTGGTGGAATGTGATAACAGAGATATCATCTCCCATGGTGTGTGCAGTAAGGAAAACACATTAGAAAGTGATGATGTTTGTTTTGATATGATGAGTCAGGCATGGCAAGAGATTGAATGTTGTGGATCGAAATCCCACCCAATGAGTGAATGCAAACTACACTTTGGCTATGACAAGTGTGACAGTGTTGAGTCCACGAGGCAGATTGAAAGCTGCTCGTGATATGTGGAAAACAGCTGGTGTTAACGGCTTTGTACTTGAAGTAATTGATCAGGGATACAAACTCCCACTAAAAGAATTGCCATCTAACCAAGAATTGAGAAATAACGTATCAGCGTTGAAACAATGATTTTGTGACATCTGAAATACGCAAGATACTGAACAAAGAATGCATTTCATATGCTGAGATTAAACCACATGTTATAAACCCTGTGTGTGTGGCAGTTAATCGGCAAGGTAAGTGTCGACTTGTGCTCGACTGTAGAGCTATTAATTGGTTTCTTCACAAATTCAAATTTCGATGCGAAGATATGAAAGTAGCTCAACAAATATTTTACCAGGTCAAGTAGTACAATGGCGTACTGATAATCAGAATGTTGTACGTATAATTGAAAGGGGCAGTAGAAAGCCCAATTTGCATATTGTTGCATTACGTATATATGATTTTTGTGAGATCATGAATATTCAGTTGCAAATGCAATGGGTACCTCGTACCGTAAATGAGAAAGCTGATTATTTCAGTCGATGTGTAGATAC